TCCACTCTGATATGCACAAACTGCCTCCCCAAAACGTAACCCTCTATCCTGAGTGACCCCTGACCTTGTAAAGATGAACCCATTACTGTATAAAAATGATGAAACAAATAGTCGTTTCCTTATACCGTTCCAGTATGTATCTGACCCTATCCTGCTTATGCTCACTCTTTATAAGAATGATTTTAGGCCAACAATGGCGTATTGCTGTCAAATCTAGGTTGGAATGGCCCTGCCCACACCGACCAGTCTTGATTCAAAAGCTTTTGGTGATTGATGAACAATTTTCTACCCTACCACCACTTTCCCACAAGCGAAACCACGCGTAATCTCTTGCTATTCTATAGCTATTTCCATGGCAAATGTTCTGACGAGCTACAATCCTTAGTTCAACGAGCTCTAACCTTCTCACCATTAGTTTTGGTATTTGAAATTCCTGATGAATAATAATTCTTAAATTAATGATGGAAGCCCTGCGAGGCTACGTACACTGGGACGAATAAGAGGTCTCATGTTTCAAAACAAGAGCCGAAAACTTCAATATAATTATTTGAATTAAATTGAGTTAAAGTAAGCTCTGTTCCATCTTCAAGCGAAATTTTTTTTTGGAATAACGTATTTCTGATATTTACGTGTTTTAATAAATGGATTATCAAAGTTATTATATTGTATGCTTGTTCTTAGCTAATTATTCAGACCATGAATCTGATGATTGGGCTAAGGATTAATCAAGTTATTATATTGTATGCTTGTTTTTAGCTAATAATTCAAACCATAAATCTCATGATGACGACAAAAAACCCTTAACTCATGTCTATTGTTTAATAGATTATTATTGTTTAGAAGTTTAATAATGTGCAATTTCTCCTGGAGGCACAAAGGGCTTGGGTCATCCCATGTTTTACATGTTCTAGCCCTGTTTATGATTTTCCATTTTACTTTAGGTGTCCTATGAAATAAACAAATAGTACATCTATAATCCATAGCCCAAATAAATAGTTTAAATACCCTACAAAAAAGATAACCCTTTATGAAGTCGTCAAAAAACAAAGGTTACGGCAGTTTTTTTTTATATGCACAAATCCATTTCATAAAAAATAAAATAAAAAAATAAATAAATCTCCATAGACACGCATACCAGACTAGAGTGAATACATCTTCCGTTTCAAATTTAGACACCCCCACCTTTCCCTGACTTGACATCTATGAAAGTAACTCTATATTGATACTTATTATTAACACCCAACACACGCCTACCCAATTTAAACAATTCGCCCTAGCTGTTACCACGGAAATTTTGATTTTTGATTTCAATTATTAAAACACGTAAATTTCAGAAATACGTTATTCCAAAAAAAAATTTCGCTTGAAGATGGAACAGAGCTTACTTTAACTCAATTTAATTCAAATAATTATATTGAAGTTTTCGGCTCTTGTTTTGAAACATGAGACCTCTTATGTCGCGAGTTGGAATCATATTTTAAAAATAAATATATATATATATATATATATATATATATATATATATATATATATATTATTTAATTTGGAAAAAATTCATTAAAGTATATTTCGAAAATAATAACCGATTATTTAAATGTTAAACGATTTTTTTAAAAAAGCCACACAATTTTTCTCTCTTATAGTGTCTAGTATCGCCACTTTGAGAAATATGCTTTAATTATTTTAAACTCATACAAATGCATGCACACACAACACATTTTTAAATATATATTATAAATTAACTGATTTAAAATATGGTTTCTTCGTTACACAGAAATTACCATGTTTCAAAATCCGAAGCTGAAAACTTCAAATTTAATTATATAATTAAATTAAAAGCATTAGTTCTGTTTCATCTTCAAGTGAATAGATAGATAGATAGATAGATAGATAGATAGATAGATAGATAGATAGATAGATAGTCGGCATCAGCGTGCATGCAATCGGCGTGGACAGCCCACTTCATAAATCTTCGTTCGCGAAGCGAAGCCAAGAAATATATATATATATATATTCAAAGGCGATAGCAATAACCTGTAAAAAAAAAACAAGAAGAACGACACAAAATAATGTGACTAAATGGGAATAACCCTGTCACATTCCTAAAGAGGATATTTTTATTTAATTTTCAAGTTTGCTTTCGTTTGTTTTTTTTTTAATAAAGTAGTAGCAACAGTAGCCTCTCCAAAAGCTAGAGTTATTTGTTACCTTCGTTTGGTATTTTTCCTACATCATAAAATCAGTTTATGAACCAGTAACAAACTTTTACCAAATAATTTTGGTACGCTTTTGAATATTTACTATACGGCTGAGCGATGGAAAAAAATTTCCATGGGATACCGCAAAAATGGTTGGAACCCCTGTATTAGTAAGACGAACGGACCACTCAGACAGTGGCTTCCCAAGGAATGCTTCTTTGTTGCACAGATTCCTTAACGTCTTCAAGGTCTAGGGTTAACCGTTATCAATCACATATAACTGCATAAATACAAATTCTTAAATACATCTCATGCACTTACAACATCATTCAGTAGCTCTGCACTTTGAGTGGTTCTTGGGCCTTTAATTGGATGAGCATTAGTTTTGGTATTTGAAATTCCTGATGAATGATAATTCTTATATTAATGACTAAAATATCATCTGCCGTTAGTCGAGCTTAACAATATTAACAAAATATTACGATAACAATTACAAGTATGCACATCATTATTTAAAGAAGTAAGAGGGTACAAGTAAACAGATTCAAAATTGATTTTCCATTTCAGTGGCACGGACGTTAAACACATTAGTGCGTTATCCTCTATGCTCTTCCCAACTATTCTCGTTTCTTGCTTTGTTATTTTCACATCGAGACCAAACTGCATCACTGATATGTCTTTTCTGCACTTCCTCGCAATCAAAACGGAATAGACAATTATTTATGAGGTATTGGTAGGACGTAGCGTTAAGGCTAACTAAACTAAGGAACGATGGAACAAATATAATTATATAATATGATGCATCGGATCAATTCATGTCAAGATATCAGCACAAAAATAATATAAAAATAATAAAGTACACATTCGTATATATTTGGTTCTCGGGTATTTACAATTTATGGTTAATTGTATCGATTCGTAATCTCATTGTGATGATGTTTTCTTTTTCTTCTTCTTCGAAAAAAACAAAAATTCTCTTCAAAAATTCTTCTTAGTCTTCGCCATCTTTTCTTTTTATATATTTTTCAATTCAATTTTCTTCTTCTTCTTCTTCTTCTTCTTCTTCTTCTTCTTCTTCTTCTTCAATCGCCCCGACCTGCATTCTTATTTGTCCCATTTTATTACCTCTTTTTTTTTCTTCTTCTTCTTCTTCTTCTTCTTCTTCTTCTTCTTCTTCTTCTTCTTCTTCTTCTAATAAATAAATCTCTTCTTCAGGACATTTCTTAGTAATATAACTTTTTCTTTTTTCCTAAGAAAATTCAATTCATAGCGTTCTTCTTCTTCTTCTTCTTCTTCTTCTTCTTCTTCTTCTTTCTTCGTCTTCTTCTTCTTCTTCTAAGGAAGTAATTCTCTTCAAAGCCGTCTTCTTAGTCTTCGTAAAATTTTTTCTTTTCCTATGTATAGTATCAATTGATATGATTTTGGTTCTTATTTTCTTCTTCTTCTTCTTCTTTGAAAATCTTCTTCTTTTCTCCAAAATTCTTCACAATAGCCGTCTTCTTAGCCTTCGCCATCTTTTTCATTTCCTATGTCATTCACTTCACAGTGTTCTTCTTCTTCTTCTTCTTCTTTTAGGTTCTCCTAATCATCATCTTTTTTCTTCTATTTCTTCTTCATCCATTCCTTAATATTATTATTCTTCCCAGTTTTTCTTCTTTTTTCCTGCGAAGTAATTCTCTTCGCAGTCGTTTTCTTAGTCTTCTCCATCTTTTTTCTTCTTTTCTTTTCCTATTCTTTTCTCAGATTTCTTCTTTTTTCTTTCATTTTCCTTTTTCTTTTCCTCCTCCTTTTCGCCTTCTTCCCTCCTTCTCTTTTTTCTTCTTACCATTTTTTCTACGAAGTAATTCTCATCGTAGCCGTCTTTTTGTGCCTCCTTTATCTTTTCCTTCTTTTTCTTTTCCTTCTTTCCTGCCGCCTTCTTTGCCTTCTCCATCTTTTTCTTCTTTTATTTTCCTATGCTAGTCTCTTCACACTTTTCTTCTTCTTCTTCTTTTTATTGGACTTGTATAAGTCTAAAGGAATAACAAGGCATATAATTTGAACAAAGAAATAATAACAAATATATTGCCAGGACATTTTACAAAAGAAAAGATGAGAAATGAAATAATATTTGAAAAATTCAAAGCATCTTTAAGTGTCTGTATTTAATGACTCACATTTTAGAGAAGCGAAAAAAAAATTCGTCTTTCCGCTACGAAAAGTCACCGAGAAAGAGATCGAGTCTTTCAAATCTTACGCCGCCTGGAAATATCGTCAAAGGGCGATAATTTAAAAATCTCGCTTTATTGAATTTTTTATAAGCTAAAAAACCGTAATAAACCCCCATTGTTAAATATTATTGAAGAAATATTTCTTTTTATGAATTCTGATTTGAGGCTAAACTACTCCCTATTAACCATCATAGAGATCCTTCCCTGCCCCGCATTAGAATGTCTGATATTCAACTTCTTGAGAGCATCTCCCTGCGTCTGCTCGGTCTCACGTTGACTGCTGACCTGAGATGGAACAAATACATTGAGTCTACTGCATCGTCCATCGCGAGGAAAGTTGGCTCTCTGTGCCGCGCCAGGAAATTTTTCTCCTCGGAATCGATACTTCAAATATACAAATCAACCATTCGCCCTTGCATGGAGTATTGCTGCCATATATGGTCTGGGGCACCTTCTGCTTACCTCGGAGTTGTTGACAAGATCCAGAGACGGATATGTAATCTAACTGGCCCTGATCTGGCGTCTCGTCTGCAGTTGCTCTCTCACAGACGCGCCGTCGCCTCTCTCTGTCTTTTTTACAAATACTTTCATGGTAATTGCTCCGATGAGCTGCTTTCACTGGTTCCCAGACTCCATGAATTCAAGCGCCCTACGAGGCTGGCATCCCGCTCTCACCCTTTCACTGTAGAAACTTTTAAATGTAGCCGTCTCTTCTACTCCAATAGCTTCATACCTCGCACCTCTCGCCTGTGGAACACCCTTCCCCAATTACTGTTTCCCTGAGAGCTATAATCTCCAACTATTCAAATGTAATGTCAATCGACATCTCCAGTTACCTTGATCTATCCACTATCCTTCTCCTCATCCTTTCTTCTATCACTCCTATCTGCTCTTGCTCCAAATCTTCTGCAACCCCCTGCATCCTAGTGGCTTCACGCCTTGCTCGGGGCGTAATGCTTAAAAAAAAATATATATTTATATTTAATTATTAAAAAAAAAAATTGTAAAGAACTTTTTTTCATGGATATTGTTGATTTAAAACAAAAACTGTTTTTTTTTTTTTGGTTTTTCTTTTCTTATATCACGGGTATATTTAATTATATCATCACAAGAAGGTTGAAAGAAAGGTTCAAATTTATAGGTCAAATATATTGAATAGATTCTATTATATTCTATTCTAGAATTTCTATCGCTAATATATTGACCTGGTGTGTTTACAGGAATATTAAGCAGATTAAAAAAAAAAAGAACAAAAATTAAGATTCGCCTGAAAATAACGATTTGACATTCATTTTGTATTTGAAGAAAAATTGATTTGATAGAAAAAACCGGAAGAAAATTTCACAAAGAAAGTTGATAGAAGAAACAGCATATAAATTATTATTTTTTTTTTTTTTTCCAAGCTCAAACCTATGAACATTTAAAATCACTCTAAAACTGAGTTTAAATTCGCAAGTTTTTCATATGAATGTGTTTCTCAGAAGGATGCAAATTAAATAAAATCATTTATAGAAAAGGCTTTGATAATCGTGGGTAAATGAAACTAAAGAATCTGATTGAAGCCGAATATGCAAAAATTCCAAATATTAAGTGTTCTTTGGATTTTTTTAGAAATATCTAAATATAAAATAAATGCATTCAAGGACCATATTTAGAAAGGAAAAATAAAGAAAGAAAAAAATAAAGAAAAGAATTAAGAAGATAAATTTTATAACGTTTTCATCGATTAAAATTGAATGCAGAAATCAAATTGGATGGACAGATGGAGCTGGAAAAGATGCAAAACAAATAAGAAGTCTGATAGAAGGAAACTTTTCATAATAATAACATATTGAAATGATAAAATAATTAAGAAAACATAAAACAAACGGTCTAGTATTCTTGATTAGGGGGTAAAATCATTTTCTTGGGATATAAAAATAAAGAAAATAACAATACCATACCAAAATTTGTAGACTGAAGTGAACAATCGACTAAACCTATTTTCCTTTGTTATTCAACAGTTTTCTTGGAAAGAAGTCAATGATTATGAACATATTCCTCCTCCGTTTAAGCTCAAAAACAATTAAGATATACTAATGCGCACACCGAACCATTTTTGTATTGGAAAATTTTGGTTAAAAAAAAAAAAAAATAAAAAAAAAAAAAAAAAAAAAAATATCGATTGACATTGGTTTAAAGTTTTGAAGTTCAATTTTAATAGAACAACAAAAAAACATCCATGGAAAATTTTAAATAATTTTTCGATATATGAAAAATTTGCTCATCGATATTACCTTCTGTACAAAAAAAAATGGTGGTTGGAATAGAAATAAATCAATCAATCAAATTTTTAAAATGTTTAGGAAAATTCAAATGGTGGAACGATTACTCAGGCTTTTCAGAGTTTCGTTTCGTTTCGTTTCTTTCATTTGTCTTCTTTTGTTTTCAAAGGCGTTTTTTTATTTTTATGAAACTGTTTTTTTACAATTGTTTTTTTTTTAATTACCAATGCAAAAAAAAATTTACAAGATTTTGTTTATCAACTTATAATATTTTGGTTAGATTTTATAATTTTTTGAAAAAAATTTTTTATAAAAAATTTTAACCAGACATCCTCAGGAAATAAATCGAATATTGTTTTGAACACCTTGTTTTTTTTTTTAGTCAATTTATATATTTTTACACTTTAATTTTTTTAAATATTTTATTATTTTTTGTCTCTCGAAATATTGTTGAACATTGTCCAATTATTGTGTTTTGTTTTTCTTTCATTAGGTCCTTCTCTAAAATTATCTAAATTAAATATTATTATTATTATTATTAAGATTATATTATTATAAAGTTTTAAATTTAACTGAACAAATAAAATTTAAATGTTTTATTTTAATTTTTTTTTAAAATATTTCCATTATTTTTATTTTCTTAAATAAATCATTTTGTATTAGGGATTTATATTAAACAAGATATATTATTCAGATTAATAAATTTTTTTTTTTTTAAATTTTGACCCTTCATTTGGGTCTCGCTTTGAAAAATGATTTTATAATAAAAGAACGTTTAATTTAATTTGACCATCCACTCATCAGTCATAAATATTTCCAAAAATCTATCAAATATTTAACATTTTTATAAATTTACCGCCTCATCATTGGGACTGGGTTTTTAAAAATTAATTCGACGGGTTACTGGGTTTATTATCCCATTAGACTGCCGGAACAGATGCTACTTCTGTTGCTACATCATTGGCTAAGCATAACAATCTTGGCAAAAGCGCCTCAAGGTCAAAATGAATTCCAAAATATTCATCAATAGGGCCCATAAATCTTTTTAATTCACTGCTTTTTTTTCTTTTATTTTCAACTAAAAACCCCATAAATTCGCTTTTCTCGATCAATTGATTTAAGATAAATTATATTGTTTTAAAAAAAAAAAATGAGAACATGAAAAATTGATTTTCCAACCTAAATTTTTTCGATTTTTTTTATTTTCAGATGTATTTCATTTGATGGTATATATCTTTATTTGCGTTAATAGGGATATAAAATAAATTCGAAGAGCATTAGACCAACGACATGATAGTATTAACTTTGTTGAAATCAATTTTTTACAGGCACTTCAAATCGTGTTCCATCGGAATAACAGAATGAAATATTTTCTCCTAAATTAATTGAATTTGGGAATTCCAATTTTAAAAAGTTATACCATTCAAGATGAGATATATTTGAATATTACTGGCGGAAATTAAAAAAAAATGGTGACATTTGTGTATTGTTGTAGCATTCCGATTCAAATATACCAAAAAGGGCCAATAAAATTTTGGTATATTATATAATAAAATGTCTGGGTTGATAAATAACATTATATTTCCTTGTTCAATTTAATTGATGTTGAAGGACGAATAATTCCGTTATTAATTATGAAAGTCTGTATTTTCAATTTTTAATAACCCAGTTTTTATTGATTAATATCTTCGTATATCATTTCCGGTATGGAGTTCTGAAAGTTAAAAATTTTTCATAGATTCTCAATTTGATTTAAATCAAACCATCTAATGAAGGCCATCTATATTACTCTTATTTGCTCAATTTTTCATAACCGTTTTTAAAAACATTGATAATTTTTGTCCGCTTCAAATTTAACAACATGTTTGCATCAACCGTAAATATTAACAACTAATCGACAGTCGAGACAATATGGTTTTGGGCGTAATTTTAAAATTGCAATCACGGATTTCATGAGAAAATTTTTCAATTATTGAAACATTGTTTCAATCTTTGTCTGAAATATTTATTTAATCTGAGGAAAAAATTAGAAATCGATTAACTATTCATTGTTTAGAATATCTAAACTGAACCCTTTAATGAAATGAAAGAAACTAAATCTCTTAGTTCAATTAAATATGTTTAATGGATGTCTAGTTTAGATATATATTATTGCTTTTCCTCTGGAGACGGGCAGGTATGTCCTGAACACAATGTAAATTTGAACCTTAAAAGATCTTCATTTTAAAATAATGGTGGAAATCATGGTTTGGATTGATTGAAACATATCAACCATAATGGGTTATTCAATTTTCAACAAAATTTTTTTTGATGATAATATTTTTTTTTTTTCGGGATTGTGTTTTTCAAATTAATTTGAAAAAAGGGGTGAATATATGAATCCATTTTTGTTTAAAAATCAAAAAAAAACAAACAAATTTTAAAAAAATATAAATAAAACATTAATCAAATCTCATCCGTATATTTATATTTCAATCCTAAATTGGCCTGAACATCCTGCATGAAAATCAGGACATTCTTGATTTTTTCTTGAAAAATCTTTTATATTATTAGCCCTGACCTCAATCTCGAAAGAAACAAAATTACCATTAAAAGACGTGACTTCAAGTCTAGTCAAAAAAATATCTTCAAAATAATATATATAATGTTTAATTCCTAATTAAAAAAAAAATTAAATTTAAAATAAAATTTAACAAGCAATTAAGTCTCGTATTTAAATAGAAAAAAAATCATTTAAATTTGAAAGCAAAAGATAATAGCAATAAAATTGAAAATTTTAAATACATTTAAATAAATAAATTACTATCAAATTAATGAAAAAAATTGGAATTTAAATAATTTCTGTAAAAAATTGCAAAGAAATAAAAATTGAACGACAACAATATTTACTCATTTTCGTTTATTATACTATATATTGCATGAATTTGCGTATTAATAATTCATTTTTTTTCGATATTTGATTTCGCACTTTAAGAATATTTTATAGAAAAAATTTAAAAACAAAACTGAAAAATAACGTATCCAACTCATGCATTTATTCCAATGTATTCATTTTTATTATCAAATTTAAACTGAAATATTTTTAATGAATACCAAGATTTTTTCATGTAATGTTTTCATATGATAATTTAATTTTATACATTATTCTTTTCTCATTGAATTTTAATATATTTATTTTGGGAAAATTTATAAAAATAATAATAATTAAAATAAAAATTGTTAATAATAATACGGGAAGTTGTCTGAAAGAAAATTTCAATGAACCACCAACCCTCAACGGAGATATCCTGTTAACATTTCTATGGGACTAATGTAATACACAAATGAC